AAAAAAAAAAAAAGACTTCATTGGATGAATCTTTTTATAAATTTCTAACTGTTGTACCAGGTCAATGTGTATCTATTCAGAAAAGAAAACTGAAAACCAAAACTTATAGCTGGAAACAAATTTATTTTGAAATTAATAAATCCAATTATATATCAAATTAGTAACATAAGCACACAGAGGAAATAATTATGACATATTTGCAATAACTTGAACTTTAAACACAAGACCCTGGCATATCATTACTGAACTATATTCTAAGGATAGGGGGCAGGGAGAACTGGGAATTATTGTGGAATGGGTGTATCAGTCCGCTCTAGCTGCCATGACAAAGCACCATAGATGGGGCAGCTTGTACAACAGACATTTATTTTCTCGAACATCTGGAGGCTGGAAGCCCAAGATTGAGGTTTCGGCAGGGCTGGTTTCTTCCGAGACCTCTCTCCTTGGCTTGCAGATGGCTACCTTCTGTGTCCTCACGTGGTCTTTCCCCTGTGCACATGCCCTTGATATCCCTGTGTCCTAATCTCCTCCGCCTATAAGGATAGCAGTGGGATAGGGTTAAGACCCACCAGAATGGCCTCATTTTAATTAAATCACCTCTTTGAGGGCCCTATCTCCAAATGCAGTCCCATTCTGAGCTACAGGGTCTCGGACTTCAACATAAGAATTTGGGGGTGGTTGGGGACACAATTCAGACCATAATAAGGAGTATGGAGTTTCAGTTCGGGAAGGTTCTGGACGTGGTTGGTGGTGGTTAACAGCACAGCACCGTGAATGTACTCAAGCCCACTGAAGTGTATGCTGAAAAGTAGCTAAGATGGTAAATTTGGTGTTATGTATATTTTACCACAATAGAAAAATAAAAATAAATTTAAGGAGGGAAAAAAACCCTCAGGGGTCGAGGGAGCAGAGAGAGGGTGCCATTGAGAAGGTGACAGCTGGTGGGCACCGGGCACCATGTGACGGTCAGAGAGGTGGCAGGGTGGGGGTGGGGCGCATGGCGGGCAGCAGGATAGTAGGGAACTGGAGCTTGCCCTCTGCCCAACGACCTGAATTTGAGGTGCGGGCAGCCTGTCAGTTCTAGGCAGTAAATCCTTACCCTTTCTATCTGTGAAATGAGTGTTGCCATCATTATTCCCGTGACATCTGCCCCGCCCCCCCACACACCGCAGAGGTGGCAGGAAGAGTTTGGGCAGACACCCTGGCTGCGTGGCCCCTCTTCTCTGGGAGCTCTTTCTTTTTTGTGATTTTCAAACAGTCGCGTGAGCTGCTTGCAGCCTGAATAAGGAAGCTGCAGCCGCCAGCACACTGTTTCTATAGCGACTGATGTCCTTCAGAAAGGGAAAACGTGGAGAGACCCTAAGAAAAGAACAAGGGGAAATGAACAGCACAGAAATGCAACAGATCATAAAATCCAGGAGGAATACGCTGTGACCTAGTTTTATCACAGCTTCGTTGAGACTTCTGGCAAACACACTTGACTATTTTATCTCATTGTGTGTTTGTCAGATTGTCATCACTGAAAGCTGTAAAGTGAGGTGACAGGATGCAACACTGTACCTGGTGAAAGGCAAAAAAAAAAAAAAAAACCCAAAAAACCCAAACAAACAAACAAAAAGAAATACAACCATGAGGATTAAGGAGCTGGGAAAACCCCCAGAAAATTCTGAGTCCCGTCAATTTCACTCCCGGGCACTTGGTAGAAAATCAGGCCTGGTGAGACTCTGTGCACCTGTCCTTTCTTCCTTGGAAACAGCCACAAGGAAAGCATCCTGGCTGTGTGGACAGGCTTTGCAACGTTTACATCCTGGCTTACCACTTCCCCGCTGTGTGGTCTTGGGCAAGCTCCTTAACCAGTCTGTGGTTCGACTTCCGAAGCTGTAAAATGGGAAGAGAATTCCCACGAGGGACAGTGGTTGGAAAGAGAGGACTCCATGGGATGATACATTCGGGTCCTCAGTCAAGAGTGGCGGGTAACTGCGGCGGGGAAACCACTGAGCTTGCACAGCAGACGGCCTCCCGGTAACTGCAGGTCTCTCATCTCCCGTCCCTTCCAGTTGGCCACGGACAGAGCGAAGGAGACAGGATGGTAGTGTCTGACTTCCAAGTTTTCATCAGGGACGTGTTACAGCACGTGGATACCATGCAGAAAAACTACCCAGGGCTTCCTGTCTTCCTTCTGGGCCACTCCATGGTAAGTAGACCACCGAAGACCCCGCCCAAATCAAGCCCGGTCCCCAGCCTCACTGTGGGTAGGAGGCGTGAGAACCCCGTGATGAAGGAGAGGGGCTCCCCACCCCATCTGCTCTCTGCCTTGCTGACACCCCCCCCACTGCGTGCCCTGCACTTGGAGCTCCCGGGCACTTTAGTGCTCGAGACAAGCCAGGTTCAGCGTCCTGGAGACAGCCCCAGAGGGGGCTTCCCGTCGGGGCCCAAGGCACCAGGAGGCTGCCTGCCTGTCCTTCCTGAGGACCTCCGGTGCAGGGCCTCTTAGGAAACCAATCTTTTTTTTTAAGTTCTGTTAGCCCCTCGGTGCCATTTCATAGTGAGGCTCCCAAGGGCACTTCTCCCTGCAGAGCCATTTCTCAGAGTGGGGATGGCTTTCAGTCAGCGAGAAGCCCAGGAAAAGTGCCCAAACCCTGGGTGCTTGCTCCCGCTTGTACAGTACAAATGGGAACTGGGGGTACAGTCTCTCCCAGGGAAACAATTCCTTAAAAGTCATTCAAAATCTTTTCCACCTTTTAAATGTATACGATACCCTAAGAATCAACCAAGTATAATCTTTAAATCCTCGACCTGCAAATTGGTGGCACATCTACCCCCGGACAGCCTGACAGGTTGGCTGGCAGAGAATTTTGAACTGATGAAATGTGAAGGTGGGGTGCAGCGGGGGACTTTTCACTCTGGGGCAGGGCTTCCGCCCCCTTTATCGCAGCCTGTCTTGCTTCCTGTGTTTCTCTTACCTGCCTGGCCTCTGTAAGCCTTTGTGATTTCAACACCGGCTTCCAACTACCCTCAGCTTCAGGCCCCCAATCAAGGCCTCATGCTTCCAGCACCATCCATGCTCCCTAAGTATTTTTCTTGGAACCGAAATTTCTGGGACATTGACCGAACCAGGGGAAAAAAAAAAAAGTAGAGTGATCTCTTCTTATAATCCGATTACAAAAACAAAAATCTCATATTAAGGCTGACGGAATGGATGCATTGGGGGTCTGCCAGCTTTTGGCTTGAAAATGAAGTAGGAATGTGTTGTTTAACTTGCAGCCCACAAGCAGGAACCTTATTTATATCTCTCTGAAATGTTTGCTCTTGGGAAACCCAGAGAAAAAAAAACATGTGTAATAAAATAATTGCAGATCCAGTTTATCCAACATTCCATGGTGTCTATTCCAAGGTAGACCTCCCCAGGGCTCCGGGCCAGGCCTGCAGCTCGGAGGAGCGCATTGATGGTGCCTATTAGAAATACGTGTGCTGGCGGAAGCCGGCACCCAGCAACCCTGGCCTGTTTTTGCTTTGCAGGGAGGTGCCATCGCTATCCTCACGGCCGTGGAGAGGCCAAGCCACTTCTCCGGCATGGTCCTCATTTCGCCTTTGGTTCTTGCCAGTCCTGAGTCTGCAACAACTTTCAAGGTAAACGGACTTCCGGTTCTGGGCGAGTCCTGCAGTGCCTGGGACCTGGGGTGTCCACCAGGACGTCTTTTATAGCTAGAGTCTGGGGGAAAGGGTCAAAGTCCGTTTTTGGACTTTCATGCATTACTGTGTGAAGGTTTGGACAAATATCAAACATTGTTGCCACTGGGGTTCCATAATTTCTAAAGTCAGGTGTGTTTTGTTCCTTAGAGATGAAAGAAGAATGATTTCCTGTCTGTGCATGTTTTATTGGTGGAGGTTAAACAGGGAAAAGGTGACACGGGTTAGGAATCCAGCAAAATAACCTTTGTTAACAATCTGTGTTCAGGGTTGGGCTGATTTTCATTGAATGTTTGCCAACTTGAACCAAAAGTGCCCAGGGAGTGGAACTGCAGGCAATTTCTAACAGTGACATAGGGGCGAAGTCACAGCAGCTCTGCTCTGCTCTGGCCCAGAGCACTTTTCCCTCTGACTCTAGGGATGCATCCCCTTGTTCTAGCCATCATTTTGTTGTCCCGGTTATACTGGTAGGCAGTGGCATGCGTGTCCATCCTCTTGGCTCTGGGTCTTCGAGCTCCTTGGACACGGCAAATGAGCACAGGTATGAACTACAATGAGCCTACTTGTACGTGGATTTCATAGTGCTGTAAATATATTTTCTCTTCCTTATGATTTTCTTTCTCTTTTTTTAATGATTTTATTTATTTGACAGAGAGAGAGCGCACGCACAAGCAGGGGGGAGGGGCAGAGGGAGAGGGAGAAGCAGGCTCCCCGCCGAGCAGGAAGTCTGATGCAGGGCTGGATCCCAGGACCCTGGGATCGTGACCTGAGCCGAAGGCAGACGCTTAACTGACTGAGCCACCCAAGGCGCCCCTCCTTATGATTCTCTTAATAACTATTTCTTTAGTTTATTTTATCGTAAGAATATAATGTATGATACGTACAACAAACAAAATATGTGTTAACCAACTGTTTATATTCTCAGTAAGGTTTCCAGTCAACAGTAGGCTATTAGTAGCTGGGTTTGGGGGGGGAGTCAACGTTATATATGGTTTTCAACTGGGCGGGGCTTCGGCACCCCTAGCCCTCGAATTGTTCAAGAGTCAGCTGTACTACCTAGGAGCAGAACAGGTGCTTTCTCTCTGAGAAAGGAGATGAAAGCATGGCATCACAGGACTGCTTGTTGTGAACGTGGGTTGTGAATGTTATGGACCCATCCTTTAGGGGCATGGGGTTTAAGAGAGTGCATAACTGAATGAGAGTGGAGAATTCCAACCCCATGGATCCCCAGGGAAAGGTTAATCTTATGCCAATGCCAGGTGGGGCTGCTGTCTGAGCCAGTTGTCAGGACTCTCAAAGGACTCAAAGGGTGAGGTGGGGGTCATGGGGCCATGGGGAACTGGGTAGCCATCAGCCCACGGCTTACCCCCCTTTCCCTGGCCTCACCGTCAAATGACAGCAGGACATTTAAATAATTGCCTTAGCTCTGATGCTTCCAGTATTCTCCTGAGGACCCAAATAGGGGAGCATAGGACAGGGAATGAAACCTTATAAAAATGTCTTCGAAGTGTTTCCTCCAGCCCACGCCAGAGATGGGTGGGCAGGTCCTGTGTAGAGGCTTTCCTTTAGATAGAGAGATGTCACCAATTTGAAATGGAGACAGGCTGAGCAAGAGAGAAACCTGGAAGTACCTGATAGTTTAACCAGAGAACAATGATTTACTTAATTTGCAGAAGCATAGAGATACTAGCTTCTTTGAATTTTACCCCATTTGAAGGCAAATCACCACTGACTTGTTGAAATCAACTATCATTAGTAAATTTCAGGGCTGTGTGGGAGGACAGATGATGAAACCAGAACCATAGGTAATGCACAGACGGGCTACTTCATAGTCATTGACATGTGCAAGAGGATGCGTGACCTCCTGGACGGCTCCCATCATGACTGTGATTATATAGCATGAGGCCAAATCACTCAAATCGAGGGTTCTTTTCCAAGTAGAACAAGCAAGACCAGGGTCACAGCGGAGAGGGGAATTCTCATGGCATCCATGTGCTCTGATTCGGGAAGATTTACTCAGTTCAGTGAGCGCCAAGCATGTGCCCAGCTTTCCTGTGTGTTATCGCCCTCGGGAGAGGCTGTGCCCTTGTTTTGTGAATGGGAACACTGAGGCTTGCTCAGGGCAAGTGACTCGCGAGGATCACACAACTTGAGTGATTGATCTGAATCCAGGGCTGTCTGCTCTCCATCTAGGATGTTTCCCCACAGAAGATAGGTATTTTCTGCCATGGGCATTCTCCGTTAGAGACCAGCCAGCGACCGTGGGGCTTTCCAGATAAAATGCACAAGGGGGTCATGGTGGCAGAGCCCAGAGCTGGGCCACAAGGCTCCGCCTCAGAGTCGCTAGCAGAGGTGGAACTTGCAGGCGAGGCTGCCAGCGTGACCTCCCGGAGCCCTGCGCTAATAGATCACCTTGTCAAATCAGGAACCAGCCATCCCTGGGGGTGCTGGTCTCCTCTTGTTAACCAAGACAGATTGGATTTCCTGTTGCCCCCAGACCTGAGGACACATCCTCCCCACCCTGAAATTTGTTGCTGCCCCTGGGTCTTGGGCGATTTTGACTGACAGAGTCTCTGATTCATTTGCCTCCCCGCCCCCGGGTGACTTGATTACCCTGCGCACATCTAGTCTCGCGTGACAGCCTTCCTGAAAGTGTCTCATAGAACCTTGTGTAAAATTTAAACATCATTAGAATAGTACATTCGCAGCGTTCAAACTCTGAAAGATGAAGAGGGGATAGACAGCAGGCAGTCTCTCTGCCCAGTGGAGGCGGGGCCCGAGTCTCCATCCACTGGGACGCATGGGCGTGCTCCATTTGTTCCTGTGTTTTACACAAACGAGAGTACCCTCTCTGTGCTTTCCGCTGGCCTTGTTTTTTTGGCTGGCTTGTTGGTTTTTGTGGGTTTGGCTTTAATTTGGCTGTTTTACTCTTATGGCTCCTTCAGGATTATCAGGAATAGTTCATCCCATCAGGATTAACAGGAATAGTTCAGGATAGGTCCTGGATTAGGTGAGGTCTCCGTGACAGACCTCCGAGATGACGGCTTCCCAGAGACCAACCCCACCTGAGAGAGTGGAGATGGAGGAGGGGGCCTTCCCGGGGCCAAGCGACAGAGCCCAAAGCCGAGTCCTGGCCTCGTGCCTCCTCTCCCGGAGCTCAGCCCGTGGACTGTACCAACGATTTGTTTCATGGCAACAAACTCCTGCTGGAGAGATTCCCCAAATCATCAAAGTGGGCAGCAATGAGGCACCCGAGTCTTTGAGTATAGACAGGCACGTGGAAGGAGACAGCCCCCACCCCCTGGAATGTGGGAACACCAATCCCCCTGCCAGACCGCACGGCCCCACACACACCCTGCCAGACCTGCACACATCTGGTCTTACCTCCATGCTCTTTTTTCAACAAGCTGGGGTATATTTAGCCTGGAGAACACACAAGGAGGACAGAGGCTTCTGGCCCCCAAAACACTGTCTGTGTAATTAGAATGTGATTGCACAAGGGAAGGGACAGCAGGAGAGATTTGGAAACAGTATCCAGTGTATCAGAACAAGCCTCAGCTGCTTATGAGGCCATTTCCTGGGGATTATCTCCATGTCCCACACCCTGCAGGCAGCAGGGCTAGAGTCATTCCCGGGGAACAGAGGCGAAACCCTTGGCTGCCCAGCCAGTAGGTTGTGTGAGTTAGACTTGGGTGTCCTCACTTGGCCTTGCCCTGGGCTAGCCTGCAGGACTGGGGACAGGTTGCAGAGCTACTCACTTTTCCAGGCGGGGGTGATGAGGAACACCCGAATTCCCCCTGGGCAGTGCCTGGGGTCAGGGCAGGGGCTCAGCCTGCCAGGAGGGTAATCTTCTAAATGATCTTCTTTGCCCCTTGCCTGGAGGTTGTCCCCTGGGATCCAGGGTCAGGGATGCAGGAGCCCGCCCAGCACTTCCAGATGCTTCCACTCCCCATCAACCTGGCCCTCGGTGCATGACCCTCCCCATCTCAGTTCCTTTCCGCCACCACCCAGTAAGGAGAGAAAGTCATTCCCAATTCACAGAAGAGAACATGAGGCCAATTGTCTTGCTCAAGGTCAGCTTGTGCCCAGCCCTGGCCGGCGAGCAAGGCAGGATGCTCCCTTTCACCCCAAAGCATGCCTGCCGTCAGTTTTGCTTGACTTGAGCGCATTCTCATCTGTTTGTAGTCACTGGGCTCCAGAAGGCCCTGGGGACAATCTGGGGGCTGGGGGCGGAGGGGAAACAGGAGGCAGCAGAGGAAATTGCCACTCTTTCACACTTGCTGTAAAGTTAGAATCGGGGACCAGGACTTAAACTACCGTCCTGAACTGGTCCGTGAATCTGGCACCTGTGATGTGCCTGGGGCCGGGGTGGGGGGGGGGGTGTTACCTCTGTCCTGCAGGTGCCTGCCCAGTCGGAGCTGGGGGGTTCAGACTTCTAGACGCTTGGCATTCAAGGAACGAGTCGTTTCTCCAACACATCTTTGGGGAGCCCCTGCGATGCGTCAGGCACGGGGCAGACAGCAGGGAGCACCGGCTGCCTCCTCCCCAGCTCTGCTTACGGGAAAGGCACAAGGCACTTTCTAGTCCCAGCTGGCCTGAGGGTGCATTCCTCCGCCACCAACAAATTCTGGGCTGACCCTTGCACGGATGTCACCCTCATAGAAGGCCTGGCGTTCTGGCCCTCTTGCGCACCAGTCAGCTTGCCGGAGCCACTTTTGAAGATAGCGATTATAATTCCCTCCCTCATGTCAAGTCTTTCAGTGGCAGAGGCTTAAAAATGATCTTAGGGAGCCATTAAAACCTTTTGGATCAATAGAGGCATTTGTGCAAGTCACTAGTATTTAAAGTGATGGGCGCCGCACTTCATCCAGGAACGCCCCAAGGGCATGTCAAGGGCCGGTGACACACTCTAGTCCCTTGCTCATGGGGAGGTGGGCCTC